AAAAAGTTTAAAAGACATTTTAATACTTTCATTATAAAGTTATATAAAAAAAAAAACCGTCCACTTCTTTTTCCTTTGTCATATTGCGCGCATACAATTGCTATTTTCTATATTATAAACATCTGTTTATAAGAAAAATATGAAATGCACGCAATGGATATCTAGTCACAAGAAATATTTCTAACAATGTGACACACCATATGTGCATATTCATCGTGCATATTTTATTCCTCTTGCAAAAGTAATGAGCACGGGGTTTGCATTTGCCGAACAATTTTTGTAGATATAATAAGCTTTCACTAGTAAAAATCATATTACAAACTTTTTCTTCAACACAAATTATCTTGATTCTCGTTTGTTTTAAATTATTTAAATATAAAAATTATATTTGACATCGTGCAATAATGTAATATTGATTAACAGATCAATCAAACCATTTGTAAGCAATTTGATGATTGGATTTATAAAAATTTAATACAATGATTATAGTTTGCTGATAATTTATTAAACAAATTTAACTAATTACAAATTTCTCTCTCTCTCTCTCTCTCTTTTTCTACGGAAAGATCTTTTTATAAGTGAGATTTTAATCCCTCTTTCGAACCTCTCTTGTTTCATCTTAATCCACCCTCACTTTATTTTGATCACTTTTTCCATTCGAAAGCATCCATTATGCCCAGCCCTGCTGGTGACTTTGAATTAATGGCTCGACGTGTAATGTGTTTTGTGACAATGACATAATTAAGTTTCGGGTAGAAATAATAATTGCAAATATTGATAAAATTTATATACAAGTGCCATTTATTTTATTTATAAAAAGACTAATATTTTAAATATCTTTAAATATTACAAAATAAATTTGGAAAATTATGTATATAGCGAAATGACTTATTAGTTAATTACCGAAAGATTATCGGTTTCATCGAGACAACTCGATTACTTCATATTCACACGATCAGATACAGACAGTCCATATGACGATGTCGATGTTCGCCAATGATTAATACTCATGTATTAATTGCAGAGGGAATATTAATGACGAAGACATCGATCCTCTTTACAAGCTTTGATACGTGAAATATGACGCGGCACATGGAAAGGGAGCAAGAATCGATTTAATCGAGAACTGGATTCGATTGGCACACGTGTTTATGCGTACATGTGTTCACATAATATCTCGTAGTGAAGGAACTGAATCGGAAACCTACAATTAGTCACCTCAATTTCCGTTTCATTTAATTATGTCAGTACGACAGACCGGCATGTGGGCGAACGCAAAGAGAGATATTACTGAATGAATTCTGAATTACGTTATATAGAGAGTTTCGCACAAAATTACAGGCAATTTCGAATTATGCTGAGGATTCGAAACAGAAAAAAAATCCCCATGATTAAGTAAAAGCATGAAAATAGCAGTCAGAAAATAAGTGATCATTTATTGATAATTTCAAAATTTTAACATTCTTTTTTTTATTAATTTTAAGAATTTTGGAAAATTTAAACAAAAAGAAAAAATAATTGTAGTCAAGAGGTGAAGGATATATTACTTTGCAAAAAAAGTGAATCTTTTTATGATACTCCATAATCGATCATTCACGATCGATCCGGGAACAAGCTCGGGGGTATCTCTCTCGATCCGGGAATTGCGCGATCAAAACTCATCTTCGAACATGGCGCAATCATTAAAATCGATCAAAGAATGGACGACAAAACCTCGGTTACACAATGGCTTGTGCAACTGGCGAGTTCTATATACCTACCGAGTGCGTTGGAATTTGGAGGAGGACTCGTCTTATAAAGTTATATAAAAAAAAAAACCGTCCACTTCTTTTTCCTTTGTCATATTGCGCGCATACAATTGCTATTTTCTATATTATAAACATCTGTTTATAAGAAAAATATGAAATGCACGCAATGGATATCTAGTCACAAGAAATATTTCTAACAATGTGACACACCATATGTGCATATTCATCGTGCATATTTTATTCCTCTTGCAAAAGTAATGAGCACGGGGTTTGCATTTGCCGAACAATTTTTGTAGATATAATAAGCTTTCACTAGTAAAAATCATATTACAAACTTTTTCTTCAACACAAATTATCTTGATTCTCGTTTGTTTTAAATTATTTAAATATAAAAATTATATTTGACATCGTGCAATAATGTAATATTGATTAACAGATCAATCAAACCATTTGTAAGCAATTTGATGATTGGATTTATAAAAATTTAATACAATGATTATAGTTTGCTGATAATTTATTAAACAAATTTAACTAATTACAAATTTCTCTCTCTCTCTCTCTCTCTTTTTCTACGGAAAGATCTTTTTATAAGTGAGATTTTAATCCCTCTTTCGAACCTCTCTTGTTTCATCTTAATCCACCCTCACTTTATTTTGATCACTTTTTCCATTCGAAAGCATCCATTATGCCCAGCCCTGCTGGTGACTTTGAATTAATGGCTCGACGTGTAATGTGTTTTGTGACAATGACATAATTAAGTTTCGGGTAGAAATAATAATTGCAAATATTGATAAAATTTATATACAAGTGCCATTTATTTTATTTATAAAAAGACTAATATTTTAAATATCTTTAAATATTACAAAATAAATTTGGAAAATTATGTATATAGCGAAATGACTTATTAGTTAATTACCGAAAGATTATCGGTTTCATCGAGACAACTCGATTACTTCATATTCACACGATCAGATACAGACAGTCCATATGACGATGTCGATGTTCGCCAATGATTAATACTCATGTATTAATTGCAGAGGGAATATTAATGACGAAGACATCGATCCTCTTTACAAGCTTTGATACGTGAAATATGACGCGGCACATGGAAAGGGAGCAAGAATCGATTTAATCGAGAACTGGATTCGATTGGCACACGTGTTTATGCGTACATGTGTTCACATAATATCTCGTAGTGAAGGAACTGAATCGGAAACCTACAATTAGTCACCTCAATTTCCGTTTCATTTAATTATGTCAGTACGACAGACCGGCATGTGGGCGAACGCAAAGAGAGATATTACTGAATGAATTCTGAATTACGTTATATAGAGAGTTTCGCACAAAATTACAGGCAATTTCGAATTATGCTGAGGATTCGAAACAGAAAAAAAATCCCCATGATTAAGTAAAAGCATGAAAATAGCAGTCAGAAAATAAGTGATCATTTATTGATAATTTCAAAATTTTAACATTCTTTTTTTTATTAATTTTAAGAATTTTGGAAAATTTAAACAAAAAGAAAAAATAATTGTAGTCAAGAGGTGAAGGATATATTACTTTGCAAAAAAAGTGAATCTTTTTATGATACTCCATAATCGATCATTCACGATCGATCCGGGAACAAGCTCGGGGGTATCTCTCTCGATCCGGGAATTGCGCGATCAAAACTCATCTTCGAACATGGCGCAATCATTAAAATCGATCAAAGAATGGACGACAAAACCTCGGTTACACAATGGCTTGTGCAACTGGCGAGTTCTATATACCTACCGAGTGCGTTGGAATTTGGAGGAGGACTCGTCTACAGGAAATCGGAGAGAGGGAAAGCGATAACAAACCGTCCATTCAATGCGGTGGCTTCTGGGACAAGACTCTCTGAGAATGCTATCATCGAAATAGAGGGTATCTCAAGTCGGTGGATGAAATGGACTCAGGATACGTTTATACTTGGACACGGGCAGGATCCACGTATCTGACGTATACAGGATAGGTAGATCATGAAACGTGAGAATAGTGTCGGAATCGAGCTCGGATCGAGTTTAAAGTCGATTCGATCTTAACAAAACTCTCATCAAGAACTATTGTTTATTGTAACTTCTCTCAATACTTTCGAGCTTGCTTGACAAGTTTGAAGTTAAATCTCTGTTAAAACAAGATGAGATGGCTCGAAGATAAGATTTTATTATACTCTGGTTATATTCTTCTGGAATTTAATGGAGAGGAAAATATCAGATCTTTTCTTAATATTCGATTATTTTATAATTAAATTTTTATTGAAATTTCTATCGAAGAAAGATCGATTGTACACATCGAAGGATGTGCATGTATGACTTCTGTATCTGACAATGCATCTTGTATAGTCGGTCGTGATAGTTGTACTTTGCGAAAAGAGATTCGGTTGAAAACGAATACCGTTTAATGCTTTCAAGCATGCTCTCCTTCGAGCTTTGACTTTTACACGAGAGAGCACAAGTGCTTGATTAAATCTCTACCGATAATCGGCGCTTGGCCTCGTAATATATCGTGGAAAATGCGGAAAACAGATCGTTGCGTTTTTATCAAACAAACATTTCGTATTATCGAAAACTATTTCTAATAATTTCAAGAATGTTTTTTGTGTATATTACATTTTCAAGTAATAAAACAATCAAACATCTTTCTCTGAAAGAATTAAAATATCTTTTATACATCTCTATTACAACATTTATTTTAGGTGCGGATAAAAGATTATCACTTTTAAGTGGCGAATAAAAGATTAAGAATATAATTGAATTAACATTTTGAAAGATGAACAACTGAAAAGGGATTAAATGAAGATTATAGAGAAAGAATATACTTTATCAGAAGAAGCAAGTTCTTTATAATAGCTTGAAAGTTTAAGTATGAATAAATAGAAATAAATTTTCGCAAATCTGTGTAACTTTTAAAAATTTATAAAAAAGTTTATATCCTTATATTTTATAAGTTGAAATCCTTGATAATTTTTAAATTTATATCGAAAACTATTAGAGTACCTCGACAATTTTTTGCTAAGAACAAATTTATTCTAAACTTGTCAAAGAAATTATCATTAAAGTCATAAATATTATGGAATACCCGTATGAGTGGAAAAATAAATATTATATTCGATGAGAGAGAGAGAGAGAGATTGAAATTTTCTTTCTCGTCAAAATAGATATTATTTGTAAAATAAATGCGCTTTTTCTTTTTCATTTTTTTTACATTTTATTTTGATTTTATTAACATATATTATTTAAAAATTAATTTACCCAATTTTTTTTACACAAAAAAGATATGAGGCAGGATATAAACAATTTTTTCATTGTGCAGATCTTTCGTTCCGAGAAGAATCAGATATTTTGGAGACGTAGAACAATATTATTGTATTTTAAGCTAAAGGTTTACCATCTGTATAGAGACTTCAGTAGTAGGTAGATTTCTTGGCAGTCTCAGTCTTGGTATCCGAGCTTTGTTAAAGACAACAAAGATTACAAATGTATATCAAATAACGCTCCCAAAATGACATTCTTTGAATTCATTCTTTGAATAAATTTAGCAGATCTGCTATTGTTGCTTATATATTTTATTATTCGTGTGTATATATAATTGCTCTCTTATTTAGTTAATTTATATAAATTTGCAAAACGGAATTACTAATTACAAATATTTTATATTAAAAATTATGAATATGATGTATTCGCACTACGTAAAATATTCGTTAATGATGTAAATGAGCAAGAAATAATGAGTTGGATTCTCAGCTCGTTAATTTTCTATTGTCATCATCTCATCACAAGTAACTGCTTTCCCTTCGTGACAGCAGATAGGCTCTGCGCTTTCCAAACCAGTGAATGCCCAAAAAGACAAATCACATGATTTCATGTATAAAGCTACCTACAAAAAAAAAACAGAAAATGATAATTTGTCACGCTTTTATTACCAGAAACAATACTTTTAAAAAATCCAAAACTTTTTACATAAAGATAAACACTAATTAGAAGAGAAGCTTAGCGGATACATACATATTTTTCTACTCCAGTTTTTTAAATGAAAACAATTATGTGCGTATTTTAAAAATGAGAAAAAAATGAGATATATTGCTCACTTTCAATTTGTTGACATGCGTGTCCAATTTCTCGCAAATCAGCATTGGTACTGTATCTCGAACGGTTTCAGCCTGAGCACAGAAATTTATTATTTCTATATTATTTTTTCCATTGATTGACTTCCAATATTTTTAATAATGAAATATCGCAATTATTATTTTAAATCATTTATACGTTTATATATTCTCTCCAGTAGAAAATAAAAAATATAGTTAATGAAAAATAAATGTATAAAAAATAGTATGAAAATAATATAGGAATATATTCACCAAGGCGATACATAATTGTTGACACTTCTCAAGACCTTCTTGATCACAACTCACATTGCACGGAAGCGTGTGTTGTATTATCGGTTCCGTTGCCGGAACAGTGGATACCGCACAATTACAAACGCCCTTCGTAACTTCCTCTTGCCTTGAAGAGTAGAATTTTTTAACAAACATAAAATTGCAATTAGATTAATGATTGCAAGATGAAAAACAAATAAAATCCATTATACGCTTTTAAAAGATTTTATCAGATTAGCAAAAAAAACTTTTAATTTACTATTAATAATTTTCAAGAAAAAAAGAATATATAATTTATGTTAGATCAATAATTTTGTAAAAAAATTGACATTATTTTATTTTATTTTATTTTAATTCATTAAATATACTGAAATTTTTCTAAGATTACGATCTTACATTGCCAAACGCGCAATTGCAATTATAAAGACAAAATACACCGCTCTTTTCATTGCACCTCAATTAGATCTCGTCACGTCACGAATAAACCGCGATTATCACGGACGATCGAACAGAACGTAGCATAGGTATATATATAGACCCGCGTAATCACTCCTACCCTCCCCTAAATGCACGCAACGGAATGCACGCATAATCACGTGATACCATTGTTAATCGTGGCATCCTCTTCGCAACAGATTCGAATTTTACATCAATATTCAACATTGCATTCTCACAACGATAATCATTGTCGCGCGAATGTAACTCGAGAATATGTCGAATGCGTGTATGCGTTTACTGATGTGTATGTACGTATCATCTACGTAACGATACCGTCGCTTTGGCAAAAAATGTACGCAAAATTTCCATGAACGTGAACGCTATTAAACGGAGCACACGTGGACGCATTGTTTTGACATTTTATCGATCCTGTGTACTCGACTCTTTTGTATTCACCTTTTTAAAATTCCATTTATATATACCTTCAAAGCTTAATTCCCGAAAAATCTTCTCCATCAGAGTTTAATTATAATTTTTTGGAAATTATAAACAATAAACGGAATCGTTTTGTCATATTTAAGAAATAATTTACTTAAGAAGAAAGAATAATTCCATTCTATTAAATCTATCAATTAAATGTAAACCTTTTCTGATATATATAAAATTAAAATTCTAGGTAGATAAAAAATAGATTCAGGATATTCAATATTATACTATATGCGTATATTTTTAATGAACTTGTGTTTTATTTTAAAAACCTTTAATATTTGCACGCTAATCAAGTTTGCTGCGAATCTCGTATGAAACAATCAATAATCAATGTTGATGAAAAGTAATAATTTTTTTTCCATCAGTGATGTCGAGGAGAGAGTCCGTAATTATATATTCGAATTAATATAAGTTTTATTAAGAATTAACATAAAAGCTTTACATTTTTTTCGAAGTAGAGTGAGTCTTTATTAATGAGATTCTGTCGGTTTCGAGCGATGAGACTGTCGCAGAATATTTTTATCCAAAAATACAATTATAATACATTTTCTCGATGTTATCAAATGTTTTTCGCCAATTCTGCGACACCCAGTACAACGACGATGCAATCAGTGCAGTGGCACAACCCAGTCATGTGACGACGAAGGTGTGTCGTGTGTCTGACGATGCACCGTCTGTTCTGTTTCCACTCCTCGCCTGACACAGATATGGCGTCTATAACCAAAGGTGCGGCAATCACTGTATGATCATACATACATATGTATCCCTATAAATACAAAAACGAACATTTTTACCGTTTAAACATTATCATAATCTTTGTATCATACGCGATCACGTTTTCGTAGACACGGGCGAAATCTGGAGCAGGTTATTCGACCATCGTCCCTTCGTCCAAGGAGAAATTACATTCTTCTTGCGAGAGTTTCAGGTAAAAACTGATTGCGAATCCCAATACATAACAATATTATCTTGATCGTTACAATGATGTTAATGGGATTCTAAACCGGATTTAATTACAGATATTTGATTAAGATATGGATATAGATACGTGAACATAACCTACGACTAAAGTTTGACATTTAATATATAATTGTAAATAAAGATATTAACGGAAACTGTAATTGTTATTGTCCGCAGTCAATTTCTTTAATACACTTTCCAAACTTCTTTTTTGAATTATCAATTTTTATGTAATTTTTTCTATATATTATGAGAGCATCAATGATTTTATATTGTATTATCTAAGCTTTTATACATTCACAATTTAATTCAAGTTCACGTTTAATTTAAAGACATAATGCGAGTAATAGGTTTTTAAAACTGCTAGATCTAAATAGTTGTATTTATTTTAGGAAAAAAGGGCTGATAGGGAAGTGGAACGTCTTTTTAAAATTCTTGAATATTCAACAGAATTGAAAGAAAGCCAGTTAGATCGCACTGAACAACTTGGAGATTGTCATTTACCTAGTCTTAAAGCAAATGTGGATGTTGCACTGAGTATGTGTAGCCGTGTTTTACAAAGAGAAGAAAATTTTGATAGTGTATGTATATTGAATAGATTTTATACTTACAATCTAAATCGATATTTTCGAGATATTGTAAGGCAAAATTGAATTTATGTGGATATTTTGATGTTACAGGACAGTGTTTTGAATGAAAACAGATTAGCCAGAAGAAAGGAGCGACGTAAAAGCAAAATTCGTATTTTTTAATTTTCTTCAATACCGAGTCAAAAGAGCGCGGACTCATTCTGTATAATTCAAGTAACACAGTAACCGCAGTTAACCGCTATAATGCTTTGTATAGCATTTCTAATTAAATTTTGCAGCGAGGAAAATATTTTACACGCGCGCGAAAGATTTTTCAATATTATTCCAAATGCGGGAGAATGGAAAATACGCCGATCTGTACATCTGAGAATTATGCATGTCATTGCGATGCCAGCGCGATGTGGGACGTGTCGTTGCCGGCCCCGGCCTGTGTAAGGATCGTTGTTCCGTGTGATCTATGCGACGCGCGTAAAATCGGAATAACACGCGCGATATAGATTTCACGCCTGACAAATTTAATTACGTCGCCGGCGTACCCGTGTATTATTAATCAATCCGCATGCGGAGAGAGACGCGGGCGCGCGTTTTCCGTAATAACACTCCTGCTATATTATATCATCTGTTCCAACGGCCGATGTAATTACGAGATTGTCGTAATACTTCGTCACGGCGAAACAGCGCGGGCGATCGGAATCGCGTTTCATCGACAGCCGCTATTTATTACCGCGCAAAGCGAAAATAGTGTTGTTACTGACATAAAATTTAAGATGTGTATCGGATGAATTACAAGAGTCACGTATATCGATCTATTCGATCTTTTTGATGCCAATTCTATATTCTCCATTTATTTTTCCATTTTACCCACTGACGCGTATTTTCGTTATTTTTTTAGCGCATCAGATGTTATTTTCTTTTTAATCGCATAAAACGTGCTAAAAAAAGCTCTCTCTTCCTCTACTTTTCTCTTTCTCTTTCTCTCTGTGTTTTATAAATGTATTAAATGTTTTTAAATATCTAATTTGAATATTTAATTAAAACAAATATCGACATATTTTTAATTACACAAAACTCAACATAATTTTATGCATAATTTACTGACATTATCAATTTATATAAATATACATATACGTCTCCATATTAATAAATATATTATATTAAAAATAATAAATTAATTATATTATTTAAATTTTAATTAAAAATAATAAATATATTATATTATTAATTTTATTAACGTGCAGACTGATGACTACAAATTGAACCATTTGTGCGCGTTATAGCATCTTTGACTTTGTTACAAATAAAATAATGACATTCGAGCATATCCGGCGGATCCGCGAACGAGAATAGGAGTCCTTTGGCGGATGTATTTCGCCGAGGCAAATGTGGGTTAATTAATCACGCGATTTATTACATTTTCCCATTATTTTTCCTCGCTCCCGGACGCGTCGCGGGGCTTTTGTGCGAAACAAAGCGGCGCCGCGGCGGTTGCGGTCTTTGTCCGTGTCAGCCGACTGCCTGCGCCCGCTCTGCTGCTCTGACAATTCTTGCTACGCGTAAAGAAAAAAGGAGAGTCTGCAAGAGAAAGAGAGAGACGGAGAAAAAAACATGAAAGGACTTGTTCGAGTTAATTACATGCTGCCTGCAGGACAGCCGCAATTTTTCTTGCCGGCTCGTCGACGCTACCCGATAAACTCACGCACACACACACACACACCCACGTATATACACATGTCGCGCCGGACTTTAAATTTATATTCCAATTTATTTATAATGTCCTTTGTGTATTGATAATATATTGCGGTACACACCTTGCAGCGAAATAAATTTCTAACTACTCTTCTCTCTTGTTGGAGATTAATAAAGCTAAGATTAAGATCTACGATGGCATCTAAAATGCTTGTTAACACCTGGTATGGCGATACGGAAAGCAGTAACAGAGTCGGAGGGAGCGAGTTGAAATATTGTAAAATGCACCTCGATGCGCTTACATCACTCATGTTTTGTCGAATAACTATACCGCGGTTGAGAGAGGAACGCAGATGGTTTCCTGCGGAGCTAAAACCTCTTCCATACTTCTTGTATTTTGTAACAATCTTGTCTCACTTGCCTCTCTTGGCTATTTTTGCTTATAAATTTTTGATATTAGTACTATAAAATCATATAACCGTGATACCGCGCAATAATGCTGTGAAATATCTTCATTAAAATTATTAGTATTTGCAAAATTCTAGATTTACATGAGAGAGATTCTCGCGCTTCTGACACTATTTAATAACAAATACAATAAAAAAACAGCGGTCTCAAGATGAATTATATTTTCGGTATTTATAAAAAATATAATATAAAGAAATTTGGAATATACATATAAAAATCTAAATTGATAAGAGCGTATTCTAGATTACGATACATTTATAAAAATTGCCAGATACACAGGGATATCTTTCTCCCAGACAATCTGTATAATTTTTTCTGCTTTCTCCATCGCAATACTCAACTAAAGCCTGTTTTGTTAATGTATCGTTGACAAGAGGCGCGACCGGAAGTGGAAGGCATTACGAGCGAAGAGCTCAACGTACTTATGCAGGAATTTAGCGAGGAAAAAGCGGCTTACCGGGGGTAAACGGGTATAACCATCAATCACCAGACGTCGTCGCAAGTCTCGTCCGCATCCGGACGAGTTCGCAGCGGCTTCGAGCCGCATTACTTTTCTCTAGAACAGCGAAAATTTAATTGGAAAAGTTTCACGGAAATTGTCGAGCCGTTGTGCGCGTTATATCGAAGTCTTGTCGCAACTGTCAGGAGGATTTCAGCGCCCTGCGCTCTGATTAATAATTACGCTCAGAAAGAATTAATTCTGCGTCTTGCGCTCTTTAGTTGATCATTTGAATTGGCTACAAATGTTTCTTTTAGAATTGAAGATAAATAGTGAGTAAGAAATGTGGGCAAAATATGAATTCTAATTGTAAGATACGAGATGTAATTATCAAAAATTAAAAATTGTTATTAAACAGTAGAATAAGTGATCCATAATATATTCGTGACCTTTCTCTCTCTTTCTCTCCGCTTGCTTGTTAGATATTATTTTACAATCTTAAAAAACCGCATGTTTTATGCACTTTATGCGGATTTAAATTTAGGAAGAATTTAATAGTACTAGGGCTTGTAAAAACACATGTACTTAATTTTTGTGAAAAATACTTTCATATAGAATTTTTTACAATTTTTACAAACATTATTTAAACATATTTTAATTGTAAAATGAGGTTCCTGGGAAAGAACATATGTATATGTAATATCTCTCCACTCTATCATAAATTATAATTTTTTTATGTTTTCTTTGCACATATTTTTACATATTTAACTTATTATTTATTGTAATAACAGCTAATTATTATACTTTATGCAATGCGGTCAGCACTTGAGGGGATGCTGTCCCAGAGCGCCTAATAAATGATGATTCATCGCTCAGCATTTAAAAAGTAGCTTTTAAAAAGTCTATTTGTAGGAAAGATCTTGCTGCATACTAAGATATTTCAAAACTGTAATATTGTACCGTTTAAATGTTATACGTTACGCTGCACAAATAGTGATATTATATGTAGGACACAATCCATATCGCCATATGCAAGGACTCTCGCGCTACTATGCAAGTGCGCGCATAAACGTAATCCGCTGCTTTGATAGTCCGACTAAACTAGATTGAGTACAGCAGCGATGGTATTCACAATACAAACCGGCTCCGCGTCTCTGGAACAATATCGCTAATCAACTGCGTTTCTCCTACGTGTTACTTCCACGTGAGCGTGTGTCGAGCGCTGTTGTTTTATAAAAGATCGCGCACGCAATTTCTCTCCTTTTTTTATATTTTCTCGTCGTGGCTTATTATTTTTTCGTTTTTTTTTAGTGGCGGGATTTATCGGCTATTTTTACATAACATGCACAATATGTGTTATATGTTAGCCTTTAAACAGGAGATAAAGTAGCCGTAGAGGGAATCTGCGGATAATACCGGAACTCAAATCTATTTCCTCCGTACAATGCGGTAAAATAGACAACACAAAAATGAGAAAAATCGAAAAATCGCTCCTTTCAAAAGAGATTCGCACAGAACGAGATTCAATAAGCTCTGTCGGGCGTGCACGTAGTAGCGCGACAGGTTTGTATAAAGGGGAAAAAGAAAGAGGCGCCGGACGACACACGTTGGCAAAAGAGCGACGGAAATTGGGAGAAAGCGAGTTGTTCAGAAAAATCCCGAGTCCTCGCGGTGGATCGAACGGGACGATGCACGAAGAGGGAAGGGGGCGAATAACGCGGTAATTAATATCAGTTTAACGGCAACTTTGGAGGATGCAATAAGTTAATAAACGGAGCCGCGCAAAGTTTCGTGACCGCGTTCGAGCATCCAAGCGGATCTGAGTATGCCTTTAGCTACTTACACACACACACACGTCTCTACTTATGTATAGATACCAATAATGACTCCCCCTCGGTTAAGGATGCTCAGTGCCGTAACTATGGCGACGGAACGATCTTACTTTAAGAGAATTTTAATTTCGCGCTCTCTTTCCATCTCTGTATTAAGATTTCTTCGAGAATTAAAATTTCGGTTAAACCTTCGTTAACTTTATCGCTTTCTGAAATTATTAATTTCAGAAATTACGGATTACGCTTTCGGGTTTTTTTAATGTCTTTTCGCCTTTCGAGCGGATGTAATTTCACCAGATTGTCAACTAGTTACGACTGTACGCAAGTTCCCAGAGAGCGTCGGAACTGCATGAACGGAAAGCAAGGGCTCACGTAGTAGGAATCTTCACTTTTGGAGGTCGGAGATCTACCCCGCAGGCATGCTTATCTGCCTCATAGGTTCTGCCAAACTATTGCTCGCGCATCCTCTGTAGTCGATTTCCCCCCTCTTTGCCCCTCTCTTTATCTGTCCGTCTCTCTGTCGGCTCACTTATCTATCTTGCTATTTCTCCGTGCTCCGATTAGTGCCGTGGTATCGATTAGAATGTTTGCAGGGGATCTTGTACATCCTGTTAAATTCGCTTCTCAAGTCACTCTAGAATGGTGTACATACATATTTGCGATAGCGTGTATTCGCAAAACATTTTCTATTTATTTATTAAAATATTGCATTGTATTAATTATTATATATAATAAGA